TAAAATGAGGTCGACTTGGCCGAGTTAAAAAACCAAGAACCCTCATATGTGTGTAAACTTCTTACACCATAAAATGGGAAGAATTCTATCGAGCCCGAAAATAGTGATAAATTCCCAAAGAAAACTTACACTTTTGAGGTGACCAAATGTGACGAGATCTTTGATATGTTGATATCATATGGACAAATTTTAGTTCCACAAGGCGCAAAAGTACCACCATTGGAACAAAGAAAGAAAAGACATATTTGCAAATATCAAATTTTTTGGGCATAAAACTTCACAATATTTTCTTTTTCAGGGATCTTGTTCAAAATGCTCTAAAAGAAGGAAGACTCATATTTGCTGACAAGGGAAAGGCACCAATGAAAATTAATTCTGACCCATTACAAGTTGAAGAAGCCCACTATGCTAAACCAATCAAGATCAACATGGTCAGAATTACTTAAGATTTCGACATGGAGGCTAAAGATGATGTTGCCCGAAGAAGCGAAAATCAGATGAAAGTTTTTTACTCCAAAGATGAGGAAGGTATGGTAAATTTCCTTAACCGCTGTAAAACCAGGGAATCAGAGGCGATACTCTTCCCAAGATGCAGTGCGGTCTTTGACAAGAAGGATGCTATGGAGGTAGAGAAGGATCGACAAGCCCAGTAAAAGAGAAAATGGAAGAATATCAAGCCTCAATTTTACTTCGAAAAAATGGGAATACCCCATAAGAGACAACAGAAGTTCCCAACTCATCAGAGGAACAAACATAGTACCTATATTCTGACATCCAATGTTCCCTAAGGGAAATGGGTGCGGCCTATAGACAAAGAGGGGGTATAACCATCATAAATGAAGATTTTTAAGATGGGAATGGGCTCCTCACTAACATATCGAGAGAAGTTTCAGGTATTAAAGAAACTTTCCTACAGGCCCAGTAACTATAACGGGAAAAATCTAATGTCGAAGACCCAATGAAGGAGGTTTAGATGAAGAAGAAAGAAGAAAAGAAGGCTTCTGAATCAAGTCAAAATAAACCATATCCAAGTCATGTTAATGATCAAGCCAAGAAGGTAATCAGAAGGCAATTTTCCCCATGTCAGCAAAGGCAAAAGGGAAAGCAAAAGAGGAAGCACCACTCTAAGATGACGAGATGGTGAAAAATAATTTTGATTCAGGATCGAAGGATGACTTCGACGTGATATGTAATGTAGTTTCAGTATTCCCAATTGAGTATGATTGTGTTACAAAGGCGATAGAGCATATGGATTATGAAGAAGAGGAGGTGGCGGAACATAAACATGTGTGTTATTTTGTAATGAATACCGACTGTATATACGAGCAAAATTCTTTCTTCGAAAGGCATGACGAGGGCATGGAAATTAACATGAAGACTTTATTTATAAGGGCTAAAATTGAAAAAATCAGAGTTAATAAGATATTAATTGATAGAGGTGATGATGTCAACCTAATGCCTCATTTCCTACTGAAAAAGATAGGAAAGTATGACATAGATCTAAGGCCATACAACATGGTATTATCAAAATATAAAGTCAAGACTGGGCATATCTTATGGGTAATTCAAGTCGACTTGACAGTTGGATCGATAACCAAACCCACTATTTTCATGGTTATAGCTTCGAAGGCATGCTACAATTTACTCCTAGGTCAGGAGTGGATCTATGGCATGGGAACAGTGACATCATCACTTCACCAAAGATTTGCAATATGGTGAAATAATGGGATTGTTGAAAATATAGAGTTCGGTTAGGGATATTTTATGGCAGAGGTGAATCATGTCGACATAAGAAATTTTGACAGAAATCTAGCCAACAATGCACCTTGTATTTATATGGGATAAAGAGATTATCGGGAATCATAGCATGTACATCATTCGACCAACAAGATGGGGTGACGAGGACGAGGACGATGTTTGAGTTCGACACTTTGGAGCGAATTTTGACTTACGTAGCCAAAAATAGATTAAAAGTGTCCTTAGTAGCCGAATTATAATATATGGATATCGAAGCCAGTGAAATAGAAATATTTGATGAGGGGTAAAGAGTAAATATTGAGCTAGAACCCCAGACAAGTCACGACTAGTAAGCATGGAAAACGGTGGTGCAGAAGGACATAGGCTCGACTGCGTCTATGATGACGAGCCTTTGGGTTTCGAGAAGGATCCTGTCGCATCAACAATGAAGATGCAGCCCCAGGATCCCTTGGAAGAAATTGACTTTGGTGAAAGAATGAGTAAAAGGTCGAAATACATCAATGCCAACATCGACCTAGATTTGAGAAAAAAGGTCATAAAATTTCTTCGAGAATATAAAGACTGCTTTGCTTGGGATTACAGCAAAATGTCCAGGTTAAGTAGAAATTTGGTGGAGTTAAAGTTGTCGATAAGTCTGGTAAGAAGTGTGAATACATTTTCCTTTTTAGATGTTTTGTATAATGTCAAAACTAGGAAAAATTTATTTTTCTATATATTGAACGGTATCTCTGAGTCATTATGTGCACCCTGGCATTAGGGATCTTAGAATGCATATAGAACATGTTTGAAAAGGTTGTAAACAGGTATCATGCACTAAAAATTAAATTTTTCATAAAAATTTGTTGCATGTGTCGACACATTCGTTCTATGCATCGACATATGCGGGTCAATAATAAAGCATGTAGGCTCTATAACTATGTGTCAACATATACATCATTTCAGGTCGACACATGCTGAAATTACCTTGCATGGGTCGACACATACGACTTTCAGGTCGACTCATGTAACCCGTTTTTAAAGCTTATAAGCCTCTGTAACTTTGTGTCGACACATGACATACAACATGTCGGCACTTGTGTCAACATGTGTCGACACATGAATTATATGTGTGGACACGTCCTATAGCTTTTCTAAAAAAATGTTCTCTTTTTCAAACTTCTAGGTTTCCCTTTTGCCTCTAACTTCCACACATATATATATACTTTATACATGCATCATTTCCAACTTGATGAAACAATAAACACATACAAAATTTCTCATCATCTTCAACGTTGCATCTATGTATACACACAAACAAATTACACATAATCATTCATTATTTGGGTGCCATCTAGACTTGTGTTGATAATGATCAATTTAGGTTGGTTGTGACCTAAGGTTGAATTGAGAAATTTGGGAGTTTCAGCCAGAAAAACCATAGGGTTTGTCCTTCAAGATCATAGTGTTAATTTGGATGTTTATTCAAATAAGAAAACCAAACTAGGATTTTCCTTCAAGATCTTGGTGATTTTAGGGTTTTTGACAAGATTACGCAATTTGGATTCAATCGAGTGAAAGCTTTGAAGATTGTGATATCTTGCAAAGGAGTAGCGTGAGATAATGGATCAAATTAGTAAATCTTGGGTGACAACAATTCATAATTTGGATTCGGGAAAATGAAAGCTTTGAAGAACGTAGATTCTTGCAAAGGAGTAGCGCAAGACAGTGGATCAAATTGGTATTGTTGGGAGACTTGATCAAGCTAATATCAAGAGAAGGGAACTTTGTAGGATCAACATCAAACATATGGTTTATAGATTTGTATTGCTACATTTCTCTTGTAATCAACTTTTTGCAAAGTAAGATTGACATCTCAATTCCATTTGGAATTGGAGGACAGACATAGCCATAGCAAGAACGATTGGTGAACTTTCTGAACAAATTCTTGTGTCGTTCCCTCTCTCTCTCTCTCTCTCTCTCTCTCTCTCTCTCTCTCTCTCTCTCTCTCTCTCTCTCTCTCTCTCTCTCTCTCTCTCTCTCTCTCTCTCTCTCTCTCTCTCTCTCTTACTCATTTATTTTCGATAAGAAAATTGTTAAATAGATTGATCATGATATTAATTCATATATAAAATTCCTTTGATTGTTGATATGTGCAAAATTATGGTGAATTTATGCATGAGAAAGTGGTGCTTATTAGCTTGATTCTTTGGATTCATAAGTCAAAATCTCAATTTTTATGTAAATATTATTTATTTTGATCTTTTGCACCTCATTTTGTAGGTTTTCTTGTATTGGTGAAGCATTGGGCATTAAAAGGGCGAAGAACAGCTTTAAGATGCATTTTTGGAAGGAAACCAAGAGTTGTAGGTTGGACTTGGTGCGTTCATAGCGCGCTTAGAGGTGGTGGGGCAGAGACAACCGCGCTAAGTCCCAAATTATGTGCTTAGCGCAAACTGTGCTAAGCCCCAAATCTGTACTTAGCCCAAACCATGATAAACCCCAAATTATGTGCTTAGCGCAAACCACGCTAAGCCCCAAATTTTGTGCTTAGTGCCATTTGTGGCGGTTTAAGTTTTTTTTTTGTCTTCTAGTCGCGCTAAGGGACCTCTGCTTGGGCTTAGCACAGTCTAATTTTTCTATTTTACATAAAATAGCATCTCACTTTAATTTTTGAGATATATATTGCATTTTGGACAGCCAACGACTTAGAAAACAACAGGAGTTGGATTCACATTAATCATTGGAAAATCACAATTGATACATATTTATCTTTGCTCTTCTCTTTGTATTTAGCTATCATGAATAGCTAAATCCCTTTTTTATTGAAATTGAATATAAATTCACTATAATCATATGTATTTAAATTATTGTGTCAACCAGTGCTTATCTCTTTAAGTATTATATATAAAAAATATAAAAAATAATTTACAAATTTATAATTCCTAATTAGAATAAATACTAAAAATATATATGTGCAAAATAATAAATTAATAGTCAATGAGTGACTATATTCAAATTGAACAGTCAAAATCCTTTATATATTTACCAGAGTAAGCGAGATAGTTTCAATGTCCTAATTTCAATAATATGGTAGAAATGCATGCACAGGTAATGTTAAATGAATCTCTTAATAATTTCCATATTTAGTTTCATTCTTTCATATTATTTATACAGTCACATCGATGGTTTGAAATCACAAGAACCAGTGCATCTATCAACTAACCCTCTCTCTCTCTCTATCACAAACCCACAAAACAGTGCTCATGGCTTCCCAAATATCAGTTTGCGTTACTCCCATGCTTCAATCTTCTGGTGTCAAACATTCTGCCAACTCCAACTATCCCTTCAACTTCACCCTTCAATCATCTCTTCATTCCTTGAGAGGTATATTGTTTTATATTTTTAGTTATTTATTTTCAACGTTATGTATTAGATTCATATTTTAAACCTACTTGGTCTCTGGAAAAAGATCAACGTCTGCATGTACTCTATATATAAAGTTTTTTAATTTGTTCGATTCAGATAAAAACAATATTTAAGACTGACATCTAACTTGATTTCTTCTCTCTCATTATATAATTCGATTCTGGGATCAGTTTCGATATCTCAGTCTTCTTTTGAGGAGAATCGTAAGAACTAAACTATAATTCTTTCTATTAAATTTAACGTCAATCACTATTAAACCAACTAATAAGAAGTAGTTTGATAGATTTTGTGCTAAACTGATAGTAATGTTACGTATTTTTGTTCTAAATAATTTTTCCTATGATAAAAATATATATTTTAAAAGTTTAAATGCACATTGATTAATTAATTTATTATTTGGTATAGGTACACGTCCCGTCAGAATTGTCAAAGCAACACACGATAAGAATTCTGATAGATCTCAGCCAATCGATTCACAAGGTAACCTAATAAGTATTCATTTATGTGTATTAATATTGAAGTAAACTTTTTTAATACAACATCAAAATTAATGTAATTAATGACTCTATTTATCAAACTATCTTAATGAAGCTTCACAAGACACTGTGCTTTCCAATGAGATTCTGAAGAAGGATGCATATGCTGAATCTTTTCATCAGGTATGTCATCACTACTCTAGTTCTAAAAAGAGTGATAGAATAGAATAAAAGTTAATTTCTATGAAATAATTAGTATTCAAGTGTATTGCTTATATTTTACACTAAATATTGAGTTATAGAATAAAAGTGAATGTCTAGTAGAATCCACTTTAATAATTAATCATATTTGCACCCTAAATTTATTTTCTTGATTAATAAATTCAGATTTAGAATAACTTCCTTAGAGACTGATAGTTAAACATGATATTTCTTCTCACATCATGGATATGTGACATAATTTGTGTTAGTTTTGATTGTATCGTGTGCCATTTGATAATCCACTAAATCTTTGATCCTTTGACTAAATATATTTTTTTAAACTATAGAATGAATTAGATCTCGTCAACAGGACTTTATATACTTACTTATTTTTTGAGAGTATATTTATAGACTTGTTTTTCGGCTAATCATTCGTCTCAATGTAGATTATGGTGACCACCAAGATTAGAATGCAAATAAATGAAGTGAAAAAGATGTTGAGGTCCATGGAAGATGGAGAGATAAACATATCAGCTTATGACACTGCTTGGGTGGCTCTAGTGAAAAATGTTGATGATGAAAATAAGCCACAATTCCCATCTTCTCTTCAATGGATTGTGGAGAATCAACTTCCTGATGGTTCATGGGGAGATGAACTATTTGTGGCACATGACAGGATTCTCAACACCTTGGCTTGTGTCATTGCATTGAAATCATGGAATGTGCACCCTGACATGTGTGAGAAAGGTAAATTTATACATGTCAAATTATATGCTTTTAGTTGTGATATGTACTAAAAAGAATTAATTGTGAATATATTGCATGTTCATATTTTACAGGAATGAAATTTTTTATGGAAAATCTAAACAAGATTCAAGATGAGAATGTTGAGTACATGCCTATTGGGTTTGAAGTTGTTTTTCCTTCTCTTCTCAACATAGCTAAACGTTTGAATATTGAAGTGCCAGAAGATTCCTCAATCTTGAAAGAAATATTTATAATGAGAGACCAAAAACTCAAAAAGTATGTATTATTCTTCAACAATCACAACACAATTCATGAATTGTTTTGTATCCGACATTGTAAATAGAATTATTATCTTTAATTTTAACTGATAATTTTGATCTAAATGATAGGATTCCAAGAGAAGTGTTGCACAAGGTACCTACAATATTGCTTCATAGTTTGGAAGGAATGCAAGATTTGGATTGGAACCAACTTCTACAGCTTCAGTCCCAAGATGGGTCATTCTTGTTCTCTCCATCCTCCACAGCTTTTGCTATTATGCAAACTGGCGACAAAGATGCTCTCGACTACCTGCAAAAAATTGTCGAGAAGTTCAATGGAGGAGGTAAAATTCTCCAACAAAATAACATTTTACCATGTTTCTTAATATATGTACAGTTAGTTATTTTTGTTAATGATTAAATTTGGTGGAAATGTTTATTTTTCCAGTTCCAAATGTCTTCCCGGTTGATTTGTTTGAGCATATATGGGTTGTGGATCGGCTAGAACGCCTCGGAGTTTCAAGATATTTTAAGCAAGAGATCATGGACTCGGTGAACTATTTGGCAAGGTACAAGCCACATAGGATAAGTTGATTTACAATTGCAAATACTCGAAGAAAATGTGTGAATTTGAGAAAACATACCTGCATTGTCTTCTATATGATTGATTATTCACTTGATTAATGTAATTTGGAAATTTTAGATACTGGACAGAGAAAGGAATTTGTTGGGCAAGAAATTCAGAAGTTCAAGATATTGATGACACAGCAATGGGATTTAGACTTTTAAGGTTGCATGGCCATCAAGTTTCACCCAGTAAGTTTGATATCAAAATCAATTTCTCATATTGGTTTGAAGAAATATATATAATAATTATCTCTGCAAATTAATTGAAATTTTCAATTTTGATTCTTAATTTGGCAGACGTGTTCAAGCATTTTGAGAAAAATGGTGAATTCTTTTGTTTTGCGGGACAGTTGAACCAAGCGGTGACAGGCATGTTCAATCTATATAGAGCTTCACAAGTGATGTTTCAAGGAGAGGAGATTCTTGAGAATGCCAGAAACTTTTCTGCCAGATATCTATCTAAGAAACGCTTTCTTAATCAGCTTCTTGATAAATGGATCATAACTAAAGATTTACCTGGCGAGGTGAGTTCTAGTTTCAGCCAAACTAACCTTAAAATTTAAGCAATTTATATACATATTGATCTATACAATAACACACTTTCTAAAACACTACATGTACATACCAAAAAATTGTAACAACTCTGCAGGTTGGTTATGCTCTGGATGTGCCGTGGTATGCTAGCTTACCCCGATTAGAGGCAAGATTTTACCTCGAGCAGTATGGTGGAAAAAATGATGTTTGGATTGGCAAGACCCTTTATAGGTAAGAAATAATAGCTTTATCCTACAATACTTAATGTTTGATCTTAGTTTCGACAAATCGAAAACTTAGAATCTCAACTTTGATAGGATGCCGCTCGTGAATAATGATGTTTATCTGAAGCTTGCAAAACTGGATTACAACAATTGTCAAGCGATACATAAGAAAGAATGGGAAGAAATCCAGAGGTAAGATTAGTAACCAGAGAACACTCTCTTACATGATAAACTTTCCAATATTTACAATTGCTTATTTATATATTAGGTGGTACTTGGAATCAGATCTAGAAGGATTTGGATTGAGCAAAAAGAATCTTCTGTACGCTTATTTTATAGCAGCAGCCAACATATTTGAGCCTGAGAAGTCTTTAGAGAGACTTGCATGGGCTAAAACAACAACTTTGCTTCGAATACTGAAGTCGTATTCTAATGGCGTAAAAGAATTTGGCGATCAGTTAAATGAGTTCATTAAAGGAGGAAACAACTCAAACAAGTAAATATATCATTCATATACTCTTTACCCTTCTCATGCCCACTACTAGACATATGATATCATTTGAAAAATTGAACTCTGGTTAATAACTCAATATGGAATTTAAATTCCATGGCTGATGCAACAAAATATGTTTTTGAACATGCATGTGTAATTTGATACAGGTGGTCAAAGAACGAGAGAGATGAAAAACTCCTGGGAGTTTTTCTAAGTACCCTTAATCTCATTGGCTTTCAAATGTTTAGGCGCCATGACCAAGAAAATTCACATTATTTGAATCGAATGGTGAGTGGAAATCATTTTGAGGCTTGTAAGTTTAAATGAATTTGTAAATGTAACTTCTTTTGAACATAAATATAACCAAGTTTAAGTTAAATGAAACATGTAAATGAATAGCAAATAGAAATAACTTGAGAGTTTTTCGCTAAAGATTTTCATTTTGTTAAATGATCAGTGGCAAAGTTGGTTCTCAAGTTGGGCTAGTAAAGGACTCAGATCCCCAGGAGATGCAGAATTACTAGTGCAAATCATAAATTTAACCTCTGGGAATTGGTCAGAAGATCTAGATCTTGATCCCCAGTATCAGAAATTGCTTGAAGCCACTAAGAGAGTTTGTCTAAGCATCCATAATTACGAATGCAACTGGGTTAGTAATGAATACTAGTTTTATGTCTAGCTTTCGTAAAGAGATTTAGTGCATGTTTGAATTGATGATGAGATTGATGAAATCAACGCGGCACTGTGATTTGGTTGAAGCTCCAAAATGTAGCTTGTGTTAAAATCACAGTAGTCCACCTTGATTCTGCAAAACTCACAAGCAATTCAAACATGTACTAAGTTTAGCAACTATTCAAAAAATATAAGTTGTATAGTAAGGTGATAAATTCAAACTCAAATTACAAATTCATAGTGCAAGGTTATCATGACTTGGCTCATTAAATATTGTAACATTCAGATCCTGAATATTTACATTTCTGTTATTGATAGGTACAAGTTGGCAGCGATTGCAAAAAAGTAGAGTCAGAGATGCAAGAACTAGTGCAATTGGTGCTTCAAAGTTCTCAAAATGATTTGCACTCCAGTATCAAGAATTCATTCCTCATGGTGGCCAAGAGTTTTTACTATGCAGCGTATTGTGACCCAGTGATCATTTCCTATCATATTGATAAAGTTCTTTTTCAAAAAGTGATTTAATGACTTTTGTCTAACTTCTTGTAATGTTTAAAAACGCGTGTCACCATTCATTACTTCATTATTTTTACCTTTCCTTCGGTATTATTAGGATTTGAACTTTTAATATCCAAGATGGGAATGCCATTGCTTGGTGTCGAATACAAACCATCTTGATTTTGTAAGCGACAATGCAACAAAAATTAATTTCTCAGTATATTTGTGCCGATTGTCCCTTCTTGTCAAAATCTCTACAAAAACTCATTTACATATCACTGCCTCCCAGATGAAAAAACTTTCCAATTTGATAAAGAAAACTAGTTTACCAGTATATCCTTTCTGTCTACTAAAAATTATATGTCTTGATCACTTTATTTGACAAGAAGCTTTAATAACTTGTAGTTTAGTTTTAAATGATAAACGAGAAATAAAAAGATAACCTATTTTGAAATCAGATTAAACTTGAGATATAATTCTATCTGCATCTCAAAAACTTTTTCTTTTACTGCTGGAAGATCTTACTCTCGTAAACTTTTTCTTTCTTACAAAGTAATATGAAATTAACAAAGGTTTAAAAAGATTTTTCTTAGTACTTTAATCTTTAATAATTTTTGTTACGTACATAGATTACTTTTGTTATAGCTACAATTCCATACAAATATGGTTATGGAAGATTTTATTCTGTTATCATGAACTGTAATCCATATAATTGATAACATCGACATATATAATAATACATGATGTATCTTATTTTTTGACTCATCAAAGTAATATTGTCTCTAGAAAGAGAGGTTAAAAAGCAGTGTCGATCAAAGCCGAAGCTAACAATTGCTTAACATAAAAGAAGTAACATCTCTTCCAAGAGACATTAAAAGTTAGCGCCAGCCAAACTCAAAGTTTACAATGACTACACATAAAAGAAATAATGTCTCATAAAATCAACACGAGTAGCGTCTGCTTTTTAATCTATTTTTTAACTCACTTTAACGCCTCTTTTGATGTAAGCTACTTAGCATCGACTATACACTACTGTTAACTTTAATGTTGGAGGTTTTTGCCCCGACTATGATGCTAAGTCGACACAGTCTTTTTACTTCAAATTATAGGATACTGGAGAGACATTTTTTCGGTGGTGTATTTATTCTACCAGTATGCTGATTTATAACTTTTCCTAGTACAAACTTATAGCGTTCATGAGAATCCAAATCCTTCTTGTTATTGTTATAAGTCAAAAAAATAATCGATGAAACCCTAATTTTGAAATCGGATAGCGTGTAATTTCATTAAGTTAGAAAGGGTACTTTACCATGTTTAAACTATTAGAGAATAGTGATGGAGAATGTAACGCGGTGGGAGAATTGACTTGGGTGTTTTACGTTTGATCGCAAATGTTGCGGTTAGAAAGAGTCGCCACCGACTTTTCTTTTATCCAAAAGGAAAGGCTGAAAAGAACATGAAAGACCTTTAGAGATGTTTTCTTGAGTTCGGGGGGTAGATTATGAAAAGGGAAGGTATTAACACCCTTTTCATCTGTAGTTATCTACGGGCTCTTAGTTGCTTTCTAGATCACTTGCTTTTGTTTGAAAATGTGCTTTGTGTGGTTTTTGAAAGTATTTTGAAAAGGCGTCATTGTTTAGGTAAACTTTGTAATAATTATCTTTCGTAAGAATGTATACAAAGGGTTGATCTTTTGAAAATGTTTCAAGTTTGAAAGATATTTTGAAAGTGTTGGTGTCTGTTTTGAAAATAACAAGGATGTTTTGATTTGAAAATGAGCAAGCAACTAGGAACATTCTACCTACTCAAAAGTATTTCTTGTTTATTTCTTCTTTCCTTTGACATTGTTATTTTATCATGGATTGGTAAGTAAACCTTATCTTTGGATGTAAAAGGGACGGGCAAGGGTCATCGTATAGTCATGAATAACAATGTTGTAAGATATCTTAGCATTTTCTTTGAGGGACTAATATCATTCGTAAGGAAATATTTGTAGCGTCATCAAGGGACTATGATCTTGTATTTTTGTTTGTTTTTGCTAAGACATCTTACATGCGTATTATGACCATTTTCATAAGGCAATAAAGTGGATTTATCCTAAGCGTGTAAGTGTCCAAGTGTATTGATTTACATGCATTGTTTTGTCTTTGAATTAGGGTTTGCTAATCTTGTTGATTTTAATCTTTCCATACAAACCCTAATTTATTAGCATTTATATATAAAGCATTAAATTGCGGAAAATAAAATTACTAAGCTGTTACATTAATAGGGGAGAGGTGTACAAATTTACAAATGGGGATTTCGCAAGAAAATTAAATCTAATTAACTATTACAACCATATTGAATAATATACAAGATTTGAATAAAAATAAAAATGCAAGAATGTAAATGGAAAAAGAAATGATTTTGTTTGATTTTTTATGAAAGGGTTTATTCTTGACCTAATTAAAGAAAATGATTAAGGAAAATTAAATAAAATTAACTTAAACTAATTAAGAAAATAAATTAACTTAAAAAAGAATTTTTAGGGTTTTTAAGAAAAAGAATTTAAATTAATAAAAATAAAATGAGAAAATTAATTGATTAAGAAAAACCTAAATTCTAAGTTAATTTTAATTAGGAAAATAAACTAATAATTAAACCTAAGTCTAAATATTAATTAATTAAGAAAAATAAATTTATTTATTGAAAGAAAAATGTTTTTGTTCTTTTTGTCTTTATAAAGAAAATAAAATAAATAAGTGTAAATAATAAATAAATAATAATTTCTAATAATAATAATAATAATAATAATAATAATAATAATAATAGTAATAAAATAATAAAATAAAACTGAAAATAAAATAAAATAAGAAAGGAAATAAATAAAAATGAAATAAATAAAATAAAGTTGGGTCAGGTGTGCAAAAGTAAGTCATGGGGTTAAAAGCAGCAAAAAAGAACAAAAGCCCAAAGGAGAGGCCCAGGCGCTGTTGTGTGACAAAAAAGAGAGAAAATATGAGAAATAAGGAAAAAAGGTAGCTCGCTGGGTGTTGAACCCACGCCCTCTTGGTTATCAGCGTGTTGCCTTACCACTGGGGTGACCATACATCAGTTTACTTATATGAAATGATAAATACATAACATAAAATGCTTCCAAGGCTTGTACTTCGTCTTCAACCTTCAGCTAGCCAGAGTACCTGTAACTTCTTCATCTCTCAACAAAAATAGAAAGTACAAACATGAAAGTTGTGGCATTTCATCTCACGAATCCAACCATATAAATAACTAAAGCTAAAAGTCAAAGATGAGTGAGAATTTTTCTGACCCTAATTTAAAACCTAAAAATTTGAGAAACTTCAACTCCAAAATTCTCTAAGCTCAGGCCATATAAATGCAAACTATGGATATGTACAGCTTTGTGGAAATGATATCTACACCTTATCTTCACAAATCAGAATCAAATGATGCTTGTATGAAGATATAAAAATTTGAAAATTTACCTCTTGCAGCTGGAGTCGTGTATGGAGTTTGAGCAACCTTTGAGATGTCCTGATGACTTCTGTAGCTTTCCTAGACCTCCTTGAATGTGTTCCTACTCCTACTTTGCTTTGAGGATGGCTGAAACTCCCAACTCAAGTCAAGTTGCAAGATTCAGTTTTAAAAATGGTGGATAGTGATGGAGGAGTTACAGTCTTGAAATAGGGGCTTGGATCACTTGTGTATGATGTTTAGGAACTTTTGGAATGATTTGGAGAGGAAACGCACGAGTAATTTGAGAGATGGGAGTGTAAGGTCAGTTTCTGCACAAAAATGGAGTTTTGTGTGCAATTTGAATTTGTGAGGGTTTGAGTGAGTTTAAGGGCTTGTACATGCGTGGGTTATATTTCAAATAGTGTATGTATTTATAGGCAAGAGGTTTTATGTTCTACAACAAGTCAAAATTTTAAAATCTCAAGTTGTAGCATTTTTCTTGTTTTTGAAGCAAAGTTGAAACATCATGTTCCAAGGCAAGGTACAGGGCTGCATAGAGTGGTTAGTACGTTAGACATGCTTGCTTTTGGTTTATAGGGTTTGTGTAAGCAGAAAGAACAAGTTCAATGCTCAAGGAGAGTGGACTTTGTGATTAAAGCCACTTTTCAAGAATAACAATGGTGCCTTTCTTCAAAAAATGAAAATGCAACTTGGATAATTGTTCAAATGCTTGGACAATGGCTTCATATATTGTGTAAACATTTAATTAAAGAGTGAATTGAAAGTTATAAGCCTTCAAAGTGAGATTATGTAACATGGCTATGTGATTTGGTCCATTATGCATCACAAATTCTGCCTTGTAGAACAACTTGAACCCCTAACTTCTGACCATTGATTCTCCTTGCTCAAAAATGATATCAAGGAGTTCTTGGACATTTTGGAAAGCTTGTAATGTGCTCTACAATCCCTCTTTAAATCACTTTTGCAAAATCCAAATGGAACTATGTGAAACTTGGCCCAGAAGTTGGGTCAAAATCCTCACCAAAATGCTCAAAATTTCACTAAGTGTTTTAGTTTCATGACCATGATTTCATGGATTAATAACTTGAAATCCAAGAATTTCTAGGAGGACTTGTGTAAAGAAATTTTTTATATCTCATTGAGATCTACAACTTTCATGTTCAAAGTTTCCTTTGAATCATCTTGCATCATGGTGAAAAATTCGCTCAAAGTTGTGAAAAAATATGAAGTTTTCAACACTTAGAAAAATTTCTATGTTTGGAAACTTTGACTTTTCAAAATGAAATCTTGAATTTTTGATTTTTTGATGAACAAGTTTCATATTTTGACATGTTTTGATGAATTGTGATTTTTGACACTTGATTTTGACCAAAAAGTCAAAGTTTGACTTTTCAGTGTACAATTGACTTTTGATTAGCTGATTGAAAATCAACTATCAATCAATTGATCTTGAGGGAAGTTTTGAGTCATACCATTAAGTCAAAATGATGCATTTGAAACCTTGAGATCATGTCTCAAACCAATTAACCATTTGCTAGGTCAAAAATCAGAAA